AATTTATTTTATCAGAGATTAATATTGCGACTCCTGCTTTTTTATGGTTGCCATTTGATTGGTAACTTTCCCCCCACCCTTTTTAGTCTTTCTTTATCTTCATTTTTCAGGTGTGTCTCTTGTAAACAGCATATTGATGGATTTGGGGGTTTTTATCCAATCTGTTACTCTTTTTCTCTTCAGTGGTGCATTCAAACCATTCACATTCAGTGTGATTATTGAAAGGCAGGGTTTTATTGTTATGATTTTGTTGAGTTATTTTTTGGTGTTGTTGCTAGTTACTTTGATCCATTCTGCTTTCTTGTGGCACCTCTATAAGATTAACATCTCTCAGTGTTTCCTGCAACACTGGTCTTGTTTTACAAACTCCGTTAGGTTCTGTTCTTGGAATAACTTGATGTGTCCTTCATATTTGATAAACAGTTGTGTTGGGTACAGTATTCTTGGGTTCTTTGAGTGTTTGTTATATGTCTTTCCACCGTCTTCTTGCTCACAAGGTTTCTGCTGAGAAATTGGCACTTAGTCTTAGCTGCTCTCCCTTGTAGGTTACTCTTGTTTCTCCCTTGCTGCTTTCAGAATTCTCTTCCTTATCTTTGATTCTGGGAAATTTGACTAGGCTATACTTTGCTGTTGTTTTTCTTTTGCGGTCTATTCTATATGTTGTTTGCTCGGCTTCTTGAATATATATTCTCTCATTCTTCATTATGCCTGGGAAGTTTTCCTCTAGTAATTCTTCTGCAAGTTTTTTCTTGTTTCTTCCTCTTTTGGGATTCCAATGATGCGCATGTAATTTCTCTTGATGGTGTCCCACATTATTCTTAGGTTTTCTTCTTTTCCTTCCTTTTTGATTCTGCTTTTTGGTCTAACAGATCAGTGGTGACAATTCTATCTTCTATCTCACTGGTTCTGTGTTCCATCTCTTCAATCCTATTCATGTGTTCTCCATCCATCATGCTGACAGCATCTGAAACACTGGACCTCACATTCTGGATCATGGTTTCTTGTTTTTCTAGTACCACTAACGCCTTGCTTGTTTTATCTGCACTGTTTTGTACTATATTAAGCTCCTCCCGGTTTTTGCTTGGACTGTCCTGCAATTCAAGTTTGTCTTTCACCCACTGAAAATATTTAATCATTGTTATTTTAAATTCTGTGTCAGAAAGTTTCATCAGACTTTCTGGCTTTGGAAAATCCATGGATACTGTGTCACCTTTTCGGGGTGACATCTTGCTTTGCACTCGTGTAGGGTGTAGAATAGCTTGCTTCTTTCATGGCACTGATAGGCACTTAATCTGAAGACAATGCTCTAGAAATTGGTGGAGAAGCTAACCTGCCTGTGTTTTCCTCTGAACTTCTGACTCAAGGGAAAGTTCAGTTCAGGGCCTGAGAGAGCAGCCTCTTGTCGGTAAGTCAGATCAAGGTGATCGGATTAAAGGCAAGTTGATTGATTGGATGTGTAGGTATGGGTGTGGAGCCGAATGGGGGGGTGGGGCAAGGGCGATCACAGGCGCGGATCAGCCACTTGAAGGGACCTCACTCAGGTTTCAGCTGTCAGGATGTGCTCACAAGTGGGGTCCCTACTCAAATTCCAGTTGTCCATCTCCCACCCAGCAGCTCTTGCTCAGTGGTTCTTGCCAGTGGCCCTCACCCAGTGGCCCCTACCCCAGCAGGGCCCTGGTTGCAGCGGGGCTTAAGAAAACTCAATAAAATTCCCACTGACAAGCTCGCTTCTGGCTGGTCTGCGAAGTCCAAGAAAACTCAATCAAATTCCTACAGGCCCACTTGCTCCTGGGTGGTCTCCTGGCTGGTCAGCAGGGCCCAAGAAAACTCAGTCATATTCCTATTAGCCTGCCCAATCCACAGTGGTTGGCAGGGCCCAAGAAATTTGAGTAAAATTCCTACTGGCTCACTCGCTCCTGGGCATGCTCCTGGGCGGTTGGTGGGGCCCACAAAAACTCAGTCAAATTCCTACCAACATGCTCACTCCTGGGTGTTCTTTTGGGTGGTCGGTGGGGCCCAAAAAAACTCAATCAAATTCCAACAGTCCTACTCACTCTGAGTGGACCTTAAGAAATGCAATCCATTTCTCGCTAACCTGCTTTCTCCTGGAGGGTGTGTCCCACAGCAGCTCATATGGTGGCTTCTGCCTGGGCCCTTGGCTTGCTGCTCCTGTAGCTCCCAAGCTAATTATTTTAATAATAGTTCTGACTCAAATTCCTACTGTCCATGCCATACCACATTGGTTGGTCTCTGTGCACCATGTCTCTCTGGTGGCCTGTTTCTGTGCAGCTTGCTGCTCCTCTAGCTCCTCATACTGCTTTCTCCACTACCACCATCTTGGTTCTTGGAGAAGGTTTGCCTTTCTTAAAATCCTTCATCTCCTCTCTGGTCTGTAGTACAGTCCTGTAGGAACCTCCCCTCATTATAGCATCCTCCCTTTAATGTATACTGTCCTCTCTGTTCTGCGGATTAGCATGGACAGGTTCTCCAACTAGAGCAACTTCTGCCCAAGTGGGCTGCAGGCAGCTCCCTCCTTAGAATGTCAATGTGCCAGCTCTCACAGTGAGTCTCTTACCTGATTGCTGCCCATTTCCTGAAGTTTAATGTCCTCTTTGGTCTACAGAGTGGCATGGTCAAGTTCTCCAACTGAAGTTGGGGGTCAACCTTTTTGCCAATACCTTTAGTGCAGTTTGAAATTATTCCTTCATTACCATTTCTTATTGGCCATTTACTACTTCCTAAAATGGTTCAGTGTCCACCAATTCTTTTTCGTACAGTGACTCTTTATTCCTTCCATTTTCTTCTGATATACCATACAAGATCTTACTCAATTTGTTCTTCTCTTTGGTATTCTAATTCAAGCTCCCTGAATGTTTCACTGAAATAGTTAGAGAGAGGAGTGGTGGGTATTATTAGTGTAATTGTTTGATTATTCCCATACTGTTTGATTCTCTTATTTTGGAATGGGAATAAAGATGCATGGGTTTGAGTTAGTTGTCTTCTAATTTCTTGGCTTTCAGATTTCTAATTCCTTCTCTCTGCACATTGTTGTACTACCCTGCATTGTCTCCCCTAGCTACCCTGTGAAATTTTCTGGTCATCTGTTTAATTAGGTTCCAGTACTCTTGGTTAGTGTTTTGAATATTCTATGTGTACTCTCAATATCACCTACAAATAAAGTTAAGTTGTTCTTTGCCAACTTGGATGTCTCTCATTTCTTTTTCTTGAATTACTGTTCTAGCTAAAATTTCTATACAATATTGATTGTGGTAATAGTGGACATCCTTGACTGGTGCCTCTTATCAGCATGAATGCCTTTAATATCTCTTCCTTGAGGGTGCTTTATTGGTTTTTTAATATATGTTTTTAAGTATCCTGAAGAAATTTCCATCTAATCCTATTTTGTTGAGCATTTTACTAAAGATATGGTGTTTAACTGTGTCAAGTGTTTTCTCTACATGAACTGTAATGACCATGTGATTGTTCTTTTACTTTGTTTTACTGATGTGATGGAGTACCATGATTGTTTTTCTTATATTAAAACATCTTTAGGTATCTACTAGGAATCTCACTTGATTATAATAGTCTTCTGTTGGATTCTAATGGTTAGGATTTTGTTGAGGATTTCTCCAACTATAAGCATGAAGGACACTGGACTATACTTGTTTTGTTGTTATTAAGTACCATCAAGTCAGAATCTCCCTCCATAGGGCTTTCAGAGGCAGTTAATCACAAAGGAGGAGATTGCCCATCCACTACTAAGAATATACATTTACAAAATAAGACCCACAACAGAAACAGATATATGTCCATTTATGTTTGATACAGTGCTATTCACAATAGCAAAGAGATGGAAAAAGCCCAAGTGCCCATCAACAAATCAGTGAACAGAGAGAAATTATCGTATACAATAACGGATTGAATACACAGGATTGAAAAACAATGAAAATGCATGAACTATTTAACCATACAGACGTGTCTAGAATACTTTATGCTGAGTGACATTAGTCACAGAAGGACAAATACTGAATAAGGCTATTGATACAAAAAACTAGAGAATGGTTTACACACAGAGACTCAATCTAGTATGGTTAATGGGGGTAGAAGTACAGGAAGATATGAGAATAGGAACAAGGAAAAGTTAAATAAAAGACAATGAATATTTAATAGGACTCAGCAGTAGCAGCATATTAATAAATAGACAATGAACAAGTATCAGGATAAAAGGAATGAAAGTGGAATGAACAGACCATCAGCCACTGTCTATATTTTAATTATTTCTATGGAACAAACTGGGTATGGATGATTAAAAGGAAAAAATACACTTCAATATGTTTCATAAACTTTCACTCAAATCACATAAAAAAATTTTTTTTTAAAAAACGTAAGAAGACAGGATAGATATCAATCTACATAAATGTTTACTTAGGGCTTCTCTATGTACAGGAATATATGAGCAGAGAACACATATAATAAAAATGTACAAATAATCTTCTTTCTAAATGAAAGTAATAATCTTTCAGTATTCTAATGTAAATGTAATTTATATTAATTGGTACTTGCCTCACATCAGCATTAGCTATATAAAATGCATACATACAAAGGGTAAGCTAGTTTCTTAAATATAAAAAAAAGTCCTGAAAATGAAATAAAATTTCAAGAGAGTAACATCCCCAGAAAAATAGAAAATTATTTAAAGGATATTTGAAATTATGTTTTTTTATATACTTCTGTTACATCTGAAAATATTTTTGAATACTCTTACCTTTTTAACAGGTAACAAAGTGAAATGGATTGAGGCAGGAGCCACAATAATGGGCTCAAGTGCAGCAGTGATAGAGAGAATGGTCCAAGATTGGGCAGTGTTTCCTTCTAATGAACACATGGCTGCTATGCATCAGAGCTAGTTCTCAGCAAAAATTATTTTATCTGAAACTTCATCTGAGACTAGGTTACAATGTAATTCAAAGCAAGGTAATAAACCATACTATAATGCTTGCCTTATAACAGCAATTTCTTCTTTTTCGACCACTACTGCAGGAACAAGGCTCAGAAGACTGAAGTATCCAAGTTACCTCTTCTGTCTCTAATACTGCTTGATAGAAAGTTTTCTGGAAATCTGTCAGAGAACAATACACCATCTGTCAAGACCAAATAAATAGTAATTATTGTTAGTTACCTTTTTTAGTAACAGTTATCACATGCATCAGACTTTATAGGTTAAAAGAATGAAAAATGGCTTATAAAAAATTTCTCTTCCTTCTAGTGATATTGTAAGAAATTCTGATGACTTAGTCCCTATGATGTTCTGCTGATAGCCAAAGGCTACATCTATGCAGTGGTTAAAACTTGTAAGAGAATGATGAGAAGTCTCCTCCAAGATTTTTGTTGTTAGTTGTTAAACGTAATTCTTCCAAATATGACTCACAGAAACCCTACGAACAAAAGATAAGAGTCATGTATCACCAAAAGACGTGGAGCCTAGGGAACTCATGGAAGGTCACTATGACTTGGAATGCACTTGACAACAAAGAGTTTAAGAGTTACATTGTTATGACAATTTCTCCCAATCTTCCTCCTATACGAATTGCAACTTCATTTTTAAATAAACTTAAGTTTATTTTTTAATGAAAAGGAATAAAAATATAAAAACTATGTTATATGATTTCCTAATATAATGTTCAATACATTGTTGGTATTTTCAGGCTCTATACTAGCCCATCTTTTGCATTCCAGTCACCCATTATTATCAATGCATCTTGGTTGCATGTTCGATC